TTTGAATAAGCTGACTGCTTCTTTATGTACAGGACACATTTTCTTCATTGTTATATATGTACTCAAACTGATAATGTAGCGGACCTAAGTGGGTGTTCGTAACTACAACAAATTCGAAGCCTCATGTACAATTTGTCAATCGATCACTTCACTCAGTAGAAGCCTAGACCCACATGGGTGACTATGTTTTACCGAGGTGCCCTCAAAGGAATCGGGAAATTCATCTTCGTGTCATTGTTTCCAGCAGAAACTCGAAATAACGCAGCCTACAAATGATCCTTGGGGATCCACGCCCCGATAAAGATTACATTGCTTATAAATTTTCAGAAGCAAGGAACGTCCATCAACGTCATCTCATCAGCTACATAACTGGACTGATGTTACTCTAAAACCATAGCTTCTGCCTCTTCATTAAAATTATAGTTGCCTGTTAGGATAAAGAGGAATACAACATAAGTGCACTTCAAACGCATGCGAAAATGGCTAGTAAAAAGGTAAAATTTGTAGTAATCGTACATAAAGACAGTATATAGTGGCATAATTATCACCCTTTTGCTCTCAATAAGGTTGTGATGCGTAAAACCTCGTTACCTGTACTGATGCTTCCAGCGCAATCCAGTGAGCTCAGGTGGTTAAGCTGATTGCCTGGTACAGTTTTGGGATGCTATAATCAGCGCATTCATTACTAGTCAACCAGGGAAGGCGAATCTCCAGTTCCAGGAAAGTATACACTGTGGACCATGCAATCGATGACATCTAGCATGCCTGCTAGGCCTATTTGGTGGGTGGGGACCCACCAAAATTTTAACTCGACGCATGTATATACACTGACTATCTAGCGTCAACCTAGTAGTACGAAAGCGTCGGCTCTTTCAAGGTTTCTCGACTGAACTCGAATAAACATAAGACGAAAGTATTTTATCCTTTTGGCTATTTATTCCTTCTTGCTGGTAAAAGGTGGTAAAAGATGTATTCTGGAACAAACATAATGGAACAAACGTAATACGCCAAAGCATGCCGAGTTACACACAAATTGCATGCTCACCTCCGTCAGTGGCTGGGCAACAACAATTGACCCCTACAGATAGCGCAACTAACGGCGTTACACGTAAAAATTCTTGCTGTAGCCTTGACGTATTGTCCACGGAAGACAAGCCAGACACACCCACTCGCCAAACTTACGCTTACAAGGAACTGCAGAACAAACAATTACTACGCAACCAAAAGGCGATGACAGTAATATGTTCAAACGTCCCAGAACCCACTAGCGAATCGCTAAAAAATAGACAAGCCGAGGAGCAAAACCGCTGGGCTGAAATAATCTGCGCACTCGGACTGAAAGTTCTCCCAAATAGTCTTCCACGCCTTTCACGAAATCCATCATCTGCACACGTACGGGAACCTCGGTTGCTGCGAGTAACGTTTGGCAACCTGGAAGATGTTCTCTTATCAAGCCACATGCTAGTGAACTCTTCTGTCAGTGCCGGCATTTTTCCTGACAGGCCATAGGCAGAAAGACAGAAGCATAAATCCAACCCTAGTTCGTCACGTCAAAATGAGATGAAGAAAGTGGTACTGGTTCATGGTGTGCCAGAATTGAAGCATGACGAGAGCAGTGAACGACAGAAGCACGACATCGAAGAATGGCGGTACATCGCAGAACTATACGACATGCAGAATGTCGTGGCTTTTGACGTCACCCGTCTAATTGCTTCCACAAACTACCAAGGTAGCGGGCCACGAATTTTGAAAGTTATCTTGGCTGCGCCCGAAATGGTATCAGTGGTAATCCAAGTATGGCATGATAACAGGAAACTTGGACCACCAGAAGTACGGTTAAGACCATTCCTTCAATTGGTACAGACCTCAGATACAGATGAGCCAGCCTCAATCGTACCTATCTCAAACCAGCCAACTGTGCAAACAACCGTTTCAAAAACTTCAGCAGATCGGCACTATTTGTGCCGGTCACTCACAGCGAACCGAGCTCCTGATGCGTCAACAAATACAATGCTGCTACACCAACACTCAGGGGTTGTACTCTAAGCTCTCGGAGCTGCGCCACCGACATGAAACAACAACTTGGGACCTCATAGCAGTCACTGAAACTTGGCTCTCAAACGACATACTTGATCCAGAGATTGAACTCAGTGAGATGTCAGTCATTCGAAATGATCGTCCATCTCGCGGGGACGGTGTTGCTCTCTACTACCGAGATTAATTGAAATGTGAGGCGCTTACCGAAAATTCCCTTGTTATACCCGACGCACCATTTTGCCGACTGCACCTAGCAGGTCGAGATGTTGGTTCACAGAAGAAGAGTGATGCTTGCCTCTTAGCAGTTATTTATAGACCTCCGAACTCATCAGCAGACAGCGAGATCATTCTGTTAAACGCCCTCCGCTATGCTATTTCACAAAAGTACTCTCACTACCTTATAATAGTTGACTTTAATGTTCCTTCAATAGCATCAGTGTCACCAAATGGGCCATCATTCAAATCGAAACTCCTCGAGTTCATGGATATGGCAGTTTCGTATAATCATGTGCATCGACCAACCAGACATCGCGGTTCAAATAAGCCATCACTCCTGGACTTAATCCTGACTAATGAAGAGTTGATGGTTGAGTCAGTGGCATACGATCCTCCACTGGGCAGTAGCGATCATTCACTCCTAACATTTAGTTATGTATGTTATGCCAGTATGGTTGCTAAAGGAAGAGAGACTGAACGCACTATTACGGACTATTATAATCTGCGCAGCTTAGCAACAACCGTTGACTGGGACGTACAGATGCACAGCTCAGCGAATGACGCGTGGAATGAATTGAAAGACAAAATTAACTGGGTCATACAATCAGCATCGAAGGTTGTACCATTACGAGCATCGCGCCGGACCAATATGTGGATCTGGAGCAGAACACGTAAATGGATCAACAGAAGAGATGAAATCTGGAGGCAACATTTGCTAAGCCCATGTGATATCACATGGCAGGATTACAAAGTCATCAGAAACTACTGCACGTCACTCATTAGAGTCGATAAGTACGAATGGCAGGAGAATATGGTGCTGAAATTTACGAGTAACACCAAACTGCTATACAGATTTGTGAATGGCAAAAGAAAGGTTAAGCCCGGAATACCACCACTCAGGACGGCCAGTGGCCTAACAACTACTGCTGTGGATGCCGCGAATGCTCTACTCTTGCAGTTTGGCTCGGTAGCTACAAATGTCATGGAACCTTCGCCCTATCAACTCCCAACAAATGTCGTTGGCTTATCCAGCGTCACCTTTACTCCAGCAGCTGTTGCAAGCAAACTACAGTCTCTCAGGGAGTACAGTGCCCCTGGAATCGACATGATCTGCCCAAAAGTACTAAAAACCCTTGCTCCCACCATAGCAGCACCACTTGCAACCTTTTTCCAGTGTCTGCTTAACTCCCATACACTCCCATCTGAGTGGAAAAATGGAATTATCACTCCAATATACTAAGGCGATAAACGATCAGATCCTGCTAACTACCGACCTATTACTCTCCTTCCTGTTTTATCAAAAGTTATGGAATCGGTAATCGCAGATGAACTGACGAGATACTTTGAAAGTCAACAGATAATTTCTAATGCCCAACATGGTTTCCGACGCAGACGATCTTGTCTCACCAATTTGCTGATTACTCGGGACTTATGGACCAGGGCGGCTGATGAAGGAGTGCCCATAGATGTGATATACCTGGATTTTTCTAAAGCATTCGACAGGGTCAATCACTTCTTTCTCCTCCAAAAGCTTGCTGCCTACGGTATCAACGGTTCCCTGCTCACCTGGTTGGAAGACTACTTACACGACAGAGCAATCAAGGTAAGAGTAGCCGACACCTATTCTGAAAGCCTTTACGTCTCCAGTGGTGTACCACAAGGATCCGTCCTCGGCCCGCTACTATTTTTAGTCTACATTAATGACCTTCCAGCAGACATTCTATCTCCAATGCAAATATTTGCAGACGATGCTAAAATATGGAGAGCAATTCGCTCAGCATCCGACCGTGTCTACCTCCAGGAAGATCTGACCCGGATTAACGAATGGGCAGAAAAGAACCAGCTCCCACTGAACCCTGCAAAGTGCCACCTGCTGACGGTGCACAACAGCTTCGTCAACACATACCTTTTGGGGCAACACGTCATGCAACACGTGACTAGTGAACGCGACCTAGGTATAATCGTGCAAGAGTCTTGGAAATTCGCTCCAATGTTCGAAAGCAGCAAGTGTGGCGAACTTGAACTTGAGACTTTTGAGGCGAGCTCTCGGCACTTTTGAGCGACAGCTAGTACCATTGTTGATTAACTCCTACATTCGTCCTCATGTTGAATATGCAATTCAGGCCTGGTGTCCATGGTTAAAACGAGACATCCGCCTCTTGGAACAGCCCCAAAGAAGAGCCACAAAGGCAACACGTGGACTATCCGGTATAAGTTACGAAATGCGTCTTCGTGTACTCGGTGTGTTCTCATTAGAATACCGACGGCTTCGCGGAGATCTTACTCTCACATACCGGATACTAACCGAAAGCGCGCATCCGTGTACATCACTATTGACTCTAACCTCATCTAAACAAAACCGAGGCAACCACCTGAAACTAATGACGCAACACTCTCGTTTGAATTGTAGAACTTATTTTTTCTCACTTAGAATCTGTTCTCACTGGAATGCATTACCAAACTATGTGGTGAACGCACCAGGCATGACGACATTCGAAAGACTCTTAGATTTTCATCTAAGTGATAAACGATACATAACACTTTGTTAAAGTGCAATGATTTAACTACTGATACTTTACGTTCCACGTTGGAACATTTTGCTTTTAATTTTCTTTCGCATATCCATCCTGTGGGTCTTGTAAATTTATGCTTCTTATCCCATCATACACCATTGAACCATTGAAGCAACTGGTTCCAAAGGTGCTGGCATCACTCTCACTGTCTTTCTGCATACTTGTATGAAAAAGGTCACGTATATGGGTCGACAACAGTACCTGGTTCGCTGTCGAAATCCATGGGGAGGACACCACGAATGGAGAGGCGCTTGGTCCGATAAGGCGCCGCAGTGGTCTAGCGTTGATCCAAGAGAAAAACAAGAATTGGAGCTCCAATTTCGAGACGATGGTGAATTCTGGTGGGTTGCAAACCAAAATACTGTTGCATTTTCGAGTATTTATGTTTTGCAACTTGTTCAGTTGCTCAATGACTTAAACAAACAGTTACATGGACTGCTAATTATTCACTTACTCGGGCAACATCTAACTGCCAGATCCAGCACACATCGTATTCAAATAAACCGCCACCCGACGGCTGTAGCAAGGCTCCTATGGTTACCGGCTCTTAATAGTTTTGAGGACGAAATACTTACGGAATATAAGTTCCCTCTTCAGTAGTGCGACTGCTCCTCAGGACGTGTCTATCGTTCAATTCCAAATGGGTGTCAAATTAAATCCATTCCGTTGTTTTGCGGTATCCATCGTGGTGCCAGACTTCCGCCCGGTTATGTGTCTTCATGACGGACCAGCATCCACCTCATTCGCTGCTTACTGTACCGAAGACAAAGAAAAGTGTTGGAATGTGCACCAAGCTCACCAAGCCCATAGTCGCTAGATTTATCCTTGTAGAAATTTGAATTACACAAGCCGTCCATGACTTCACGAAAGGTACAGGGAAGATGTCCCACGTATTGCAAATTCAACATAGTGCACAGATGTCGCGCTGATTCGCACAGGCATGGCTGCAGCCGTGACAAACGTAATACCGCGGTTCATTTTTATTTCAATTGCAAAGAATTCGGTGTCCATGTCGCGGCTAAAACCACACGCGACTACAAAATGGTCATTTGCGTTCACATTGGCGGTGTAAGGAGTGTTGGACGGACACCTGTCAGGTCGATAAGATACCGGCTTTCGCTGGTCGTAGGTACGTTGTGGCCGCGTAGCTGTAGATACATGGATGCAATGGCGTAACGTTTTGCCACCAACATGCTTCCACGGTAGCTGCACCAAATGCTTTCTGACTGGGTTAGAAGCGAGTTATTCAACGTTGTAACTCGCTTCCGGAACATGTGGTAAGAGAATCTACCGTTACGTGTTTCGGGCGTCAGTTGGAGGCTGTCGAGTGGCATTACCTAAACTTTCCCTTCTCCTAACCGACTTGTATCCTCAGCTTTCTCCTGTTCTTTTCCCCAGTTCTTCGCATGCCTTGGTATTAGAATTATTTAGTTGGCATTCCTTCTCCTGTCTTCTTAGCTTACCATTCACTCTTAATTCAAATAAACCGTCCTGGCAGAGACTGGTGGGCAAGAAATGTGGGCAGTAGTTAGTTGGCCAGGGTGCGGCACGGATTTTGTTTTAGGCCTATCAAAATCTCAAGCCGAATTATCACTTCCTGGTTCAGCGATAGGCAGAAGAAGGAACATTCATGGTATTATCCTATTGTTCCTGTCCCAAATGAACTTGAAATGCAGCAACTGAGAATGGGGGCTGGCAATACGCGCCAGTGTCATGTGTTCAAGGTCATGAACCGAGCGACAGGTGTTGTATCTCCCACGGTTACCATAAATCCAGGCTTTGATGCCAAGGTTTTTCCTTTCAGCTGAAACGCAGCTTGGTTAACAATGTGAGCGTTATTGTTTAGTGCAGCGATATTTATTCACACTACTTCATTTGCTGATCAGGGTCAGCAGCACGCTTTGGTTAGTTGCATTTGCAGTTTATATTTCACACGATTACTTTACCCCTAAGTAATTTTGCAGGAATTTCACTTCGAACTAGCCGCACGATGTGCGAATCATAAAACCCTTACTTGGACTGTGTTGTGCGCGCCCCATGAGTGTATGTATATCAAGGTCGTCTGTTGTGTATGAAAATCAGAAACTTCATGTCGCTTTGAATACACTCTTAATTGTGTACGGTGAACTATACTTCAGGAATATTGCCTGCCTTCTTCATCTTTAGTATGAGACTCTTGTAGATCTCCTCGTCAGCAAGTAACTGACCAAGCGGCACGTCACTATGCCAACGCGACTTGGGCGGCACACATTCACAGCGGGCAGGCGCGTGCTTTCGTGACCATCGAGCCTAACGGCCGTTGCGCCAGCAACCGATTCACCCTTCTCCAAGGTGCCGACAACCAACGCAGGCCTGGACCTCAACGTTCGAACAGAGGTCCGCCTGCTATCCGTTAGCTCACAGTCGCGAAGTCAAACGATTTCACAGTTCCGGTGCAGTTCGACTACCTGCAGTTCGACAACCTATCACACACGTGTTCTCGCTAGGCTAGTGGCACCATATTTTTTATACTCCGCGCTTGTATTCGGTGTACATTGAACGTATTACTGGAAATCATTCTCACATGGGTGAACTTGTCATCCAGTGCGTTCTAGTTACTGCAATTAAGTTTCCTGCCACTGTTACCGCAAAAGCTAGGGTGCATGCACCCATGTGATAACTATGGTTAGATCGCACTGTACCGCCCACATACTCCTATTTGCTTGTATACCAGAGGAGATCGGATTGGGTGGCACGACGTTGGAAGTCACGCTTGTGTCTGACTTACGGCAGTGTATTACAATACCGAGATCAAACGGTTAATTAGTTGCCTGTTTATGTTCGGCGCTTCCACACAACAGGAACATGGTTCTTCTCGAGGCAGCGCTGAAAAACCTGACCCAAATGTTCCGCCACTTGCGTTGCTGCTGCTCCCAGTGCTGGTAGGTGAATAGTATGGACACCAGAGGAGCTGTTGTTTCCCCGTAGATGCTAGCTTTCAAAAGACAACTTCACTAGTGTATCATGGGGAAAAATCCATAGGCTGACAAATGCAAAAGAAGAGTACAACCACAATATTTCGGCGTGATATGCGAATTGTCAGTGATGAAAATATTGCAATTTATCATACTGTTGTGTAGTGTGCTTTGCTTAGATGGAAGTCTTTCGAGTATCCCGATGTTTGATGTGTCCAGCCTTGCGTTCGCAGTGCATTCCATTGCGAACAGATTCCAAGAGGAAGAATTTCTGCAAGCCAGACGGGAGTTTTGCGTTACTAGTTTCAGATGTTAACCGCATTTTTTACAAGGGGCTAGGGTCAGCAGTGATTTACATGGATGATTGCTTTCTGTTTGTTTCCGGTATATCAGGATGAGATCGCGAAGCTATCGGTATTCGAAAGGGAACATACCTGATAAACAAAGGCGCATTTCAGATTTGAGACCGAATAGTCTACGTGTATCATTGGTGGCTCTTCTTTAGGGCTGCTCCAATAGACGAATGTCTCGTTCTAATCACGGATGCCATTCCTGAACTGCACACTCAACGGAAAGATGAAGCACGAGTTAATCAGCAAACGTACTAGTAGTCGCACGAAGACACCATGAGTTTGCCTCCAAAGGCTTAAGTTCAAGTTCATGACATTTTCTGCTCTCTAATATCGGAGCGAAGTGCCCAGATAATGATACCCAAGTCTCAGTCACCACTAACGTGTTGTAGGACGTGCTGCCCCTAAAGGTATGTGTTGTTGAAACTCCTGCGCGGCGTCAGTAGAGGGCACTTTTCAGGGTTCAGTGGAAGCTGGTTCCTTTCTGCTAATTCGTATATCCCGTCCAGATAGTTCTGGAGATAGGGACGGTAGGAGGTTGAACGTATAGATCTCCAGATCATAGTGTAATCTGTAAATATTTGTATCGAGGATGAATATTTGCAGGGAGGTCTTTAATATAGACCAAAAAGACTAGTGGGCCAAGGACGGATTCTTGTGGCACACCACTGCAGATGTACAGGCTTTCCGAGTGGGTGTCGGTTATACTTACATTGATTATTCTGTCATTTAGGTAACCTTACAACCAGGTGAGCAGGGAACCTCTGATACCGTTGGCATTAACCTTTCAGAGGAGAACAAATTAATTAACTCTGTCGACTGCCTAAGAAAAGTCTAAGTTGATCACATCTAGGGGGACTCCTACGTTAACACCCCTGGCCCATGAATCCCGAGCAAGAAGCCGATTGGTGATATAAGACCGTCTGCGTCGGAAATTATTTGCAGACTTTCAAACTGTAAGAACCTCACATTTCAGATATGCTCGGTAGTAGACATCGACACCGGCACCGCGAATACTCAGTACTGAGCATAGAGAACGAAAAGATAAATATCTGTGTTGCTTCAACGTAGTGGATCAGGCACATGCATGGAATCACCTCGCTTATTCCCGCGCGGTGGCAGCATATTACAGTTCAACTAAATCTTATCCTGGGTCGACACGCTCCAAATACATGTAGTCGGCAAAGTGGGCGTCAAGGAATCTCTTATGTTCCGACAACGATTTCACCTAGACTAGCGTCTACAGCAACTTGTTCCAATATTTTACCATTCGACACTCGAAGCATAGAGGGTTAGCGATGTGCTTCAAATGCGGTACCAATAGTTTGAACCGGTGTCCGCGTGTACTGCTTGGTGCGTGAAAATGCACCAGCGGGCTCAACATAGAAAAGTGGCCCAGATGCAGTATCCGGTGCGTCATGAAGAGATCAGCTCGAATTCGATGAAACGACAGGGTAAAAAGCCCTAGTCTCCCACATCGAACCTCGTACAACATACACCGTAAACTAGTGATAAGCGGGGTAGCTACATGTGATGGACGATCATTCCGAATGACTGACATTCCACTGGTTTTAATTTCCGGATTTAGTCTGACTTTTGAGAACCAAATTTCAATCACGGTTATGATGTCTCAAGTTAGTGTTTCATGTTGGTGGCGTAGTTCTGACAGCTTAGAGTGGAGCTAATGAACAATGAAAAATGTACAATGATTTCTCACGGGTAAAAAGCATGTGCCTGACAAGTCCCGTAGGATGGTTGGAGTGAAAATTATAATTGAAAGGCTCAACGAATAAGTAAATCGTCATTTTAAGCGTCCACCGATTTAAATGCACTGTTGCCTAATGGTAGTTCGAAGTGGGAACGAGATGTGCACACACTAAATAGTATAGAGAGCTGTTATAGCTCAGTAAATGCGTGAGAAATAAACTGAGGTAACGACAACTCTTACTTGTGTTTTGTTCTATTGAATGGATGCGATACGTTAGTCCACTTTAGGTACATCCATGCTACTCACACGGACACTTATGCATGTGTGCT